CCTGTGTTATTGCTGTGTTATTACTGTGTTATTAATGTGTTATTACTGAGTTATTCCTGTGTTATAACTGTGTTATTACTGTGTTATTCCTCTGTTATTAATGTGTTAGTCCTGTGTTATTACTGTGTTATTCCTGTTTTATTACTGTGTAATTACTGCGTTATTACTGTGTTATGTCTGTGTTATTACTGAATTGTTCCTGTCTTATTACTGTGTTATTCCTGTGTTATTTCTGTTATTACTGAGTTATTCCTGCGTATTACTGTGTTAATCATTTCTGTTATTACTGTGTTATTCCTGTTATTTCTGTTATTACTGAGTTATTCCTGAGTTATTGCTGTGTTAATCCTGTATTATTCTTGTTTTATTAATACATTATTACTGAATTATTACTGTGTTATTACTGTGGTATTACTGTGTTAATACTGTGTTATTTCCGTTATTACTGTGTTTTTCTTGTGTTATTAATGTGTTATTCCTGTGATATTTCTGTTATTACTGATTTATTCCTGTGTTATTACTGTGTTATTCCTGTGTTATTACTGTCCAGACTTGAATGCAAAGACTCGAGACTTACTTGTGACTTGCAAAACAATGACTTGGTCCCACCTCTGCCAGTCACTGTTTCCGTCAGTTTGTGTTCTGTGTGTCACAGTGCTTGACTCAAATGCAGTGTCATGCGCGAGACGCAGAAAAGGATGCGAGCGCATATATATGGAAGGCCAAAGGCGCCAAAAACACGTGAATTTTAACACGTCAACAACGGGTTAAACACGCGTATTTCACGTGTAAACAACAGGTATTTAATGCGTTAAATATGTCGTTTACGTGAAAAATCAGCGCGTTAAATCCCCCCTAAGCTCACAGAAGTGGTTTGACCCAAGTCCTCAGCAGCCAATGACACTGACCCGTTCAAACTGATTTTTAGCGTGTACTTCACGTGTATTTAACACATATTTCACGTGTATTTCACGCGTATTTAACACGTTGAATACACATATTTAACGTGCTGATTTTTCACGCGTAAACGACATATTTAACGAGTTAAATATGTGTTGTTTACGCGTGAAATACACGTTTAACGCGTTGTTGACGCGTTAAAATTTTACACATCAACAACGCGTCAAATACGCATACTTAACGCATATTTCACGCGTTAGATACGTGTTGTTTGATCGTAAAAAAATCAGCGCGTATTTCACACGTATTTAAAGGGGTCATATGATGTTGCTAAAAAGAACATTATTTTGTGTATTTGGTGTAATGAAATGTGTTTATGTGGTTTAAGGTTAAAAAAACACATTATTTTCCACATACTGTACATTATTGTTTCTCCTCTATGCCCCGCCTTTCTGAAATGCGTCGATTTTTACAAAGCTCATCGGTCTGAAAAGCGAGGTAGAAAGGAAAATTTGAAATCGCATCATATGACCCCTTTAACACGTATTTCACGGCGAAATACTCATTAAATACGTGTGAAAAACACGTTAAAAATCGTTTGAAGGGGTCAGTGTCATTGGCTGCTGAAAACTTAGGTCAAACCATTTCTGTGAGTTTAAGGGGGTGTACCATTCATAGACTAGGATACCACCATTTAACATGCTATAGATCAGCTTATTCAGCCTTTTTATTTTGTCCTTTTTTGTCTTTTTTGTATAGCCTATAGAAATAATATATTTAAATAGCAGTTTTATGAAAAATTTGATATTATATTAGAAATAAAATTGCATCGTTTTTCTCCACGTATGCCTTTTTTTAGTAAATAAACACATTAGTGGACATTATAGCTTTAACAGTGATCAAACTTAAGTTAGCATCAAAACTTTAACATTTGTGTGGGGAAACCAGTTACGGTGGAGGTAATGCAGGTTTAAGACAGACCATTGTAATCAATATCTGTCTTTGGAAAACAACTTGAGCTTTTCTTGTGCTTACATTTACAGCTATCGCCAGCAGGCGGCGCTTATTATGCACTCATCGGACAAACATGCAGGTGATATTATCCATTTAAAGGAATTTAAAGACGTAAAGTATTTAAATATGGCATTTTAGAATGTATATAAGTATTTAAGACTTTCAAGTCAGGTATAATAACTTGATTTGGCTTTCCTGACAGCAGAAGTATTCTACCGCTACCACCATTTAAGATCCTCCTATTACTTTTTTTTGTTGTTGTTATTTTCTTCCTTTTCTTGTGTAGTCCAAAGAAAATACCTAGATTGCAGTTTTATGAAAAAATATTTTTTATCAAGATAAGATTGCCCCTTTTTCCACATTAGTAGGCATTCTAGCTGTAACACCATTCACCACACCTCAAGTTTTCTAACATTAAAAACTAACATTTGATTGGGGAAAAGGGTACAGATGTGGTTCTTGATCAGTGCAATTGTAATGAATATCTGTTTTTGATAAACAACATAACCTTGTTTTTTTAGATTTAATTCACAAACTTGGATATCAACTGGCCTGGCTCAGTCAGAGTCTGTGTTCTGTTAGTGCTTGAGGAAGGTAAAGTAAGTGGGGAACTGAAAAAATGAGTTAGCTTTAATAGCTTTAATACTCATTTGAGAAAACTGCTGGTTAGGTTTGAAACCCGCCACAGGATGTCCGGTAAGAGACTTGATGAAAAGATGTTGGAAATTTGTGAGTAACCTGTTTATTTGTCACCACAACAACTCAGTTATTAGTTATTAACAACGTTTGAATATAGTCCTTAGTTGTGGGTGTATTTAGTGTGTGGTTTTCTATAGAAACAGAAAATGCAGAGTAAATATAAACATACACAATAATAACATTAAATTCTAAACAGATATACACATGATGAATATAAAATACACAACTGAACAGATAAACAGAAGAAAACAAACTTGCTGTGTCATATACATTAAGTTAAACAGTAAACAGGTTAATTTGTTCTATATTGTATATCAAGGATATCTCAAAAACAAGCACTTAGCCAATGAACTATGGCCTTAGCAGGGTCACTGTATACAGTAGTGTAACATAGAACATGCAGGTGACTTCCCCCAAAATGAATAAAAAAAGGCTATGACATACTTACAACTTTGAATTATAATGTATCTCGATCTGCTGCCAATAACACTGAGTTGTTGCAGGGGTTTGGTTCATATAGCTTTAAGATCAAAGTTGACAGAGAAAGTTCATAAGCTGCTTCATGGCATCAACAAAGCCTGATTTGCATTGATTTGGTTTTGTCAACTCAAAACTAATCCTGTAACCCTGAGTTTGTTCAACTACCTTCATGTTACAGGTCCTTGAGCAGTTTGCAGTACAATAGGTCTTCTGTCCTAGCCTTTTAATACTTTCAGTAAGCCAATCAAGTCTGTCACCAGCATATAAACTGTCACAAAAAAGCAGCCATAAAATTAATTCTAGCTGTTATGAAGTGTACAATAGGCATCTCAGTAACAATCCAGATTACTTGCAGATATAAACTATATGTGTGTGGTTCTAAAAAATAAATAAATAAAAAATGAGCTACTTAGTATTTTTATGTTTAAATGTTTACTTAAATGTTATGAAGTGCTTTAACAAATCACATCATTTCACGGATAAATTGCTTTAATACCAATTTTCAGGGTGGCCTAGGACTTTAGTACAGTAGAATACTTCTCCTGTCAGGAAAGCCAAATCAAGTTCTTATACCTGACCTGAAAGTCTTAATATTATATACATTCTAAAATGCCATATTTAAATACTTTACGTCTTTAAATTCATTTAAATGGATAACATCACCTGCATGTTTGTCTGATGAGTGCATAATAAGCACAAATGTAAGCGTAAATGTAAGCACAAGAAAAGCTCACTTTGTTTTCTAAAGACAGATATTGATTACAATGGTGTCTTAAACCTGCATTGATTGCTTACCTCCACTGTAACTGGTTTCCCCACACAAACGTTAAAGCTTTGATGCTAACTTAAGTTTGATCACTGTTAAAGCTATAATGTCCACTAATATGTTTATTTACTAAAAAAGGCATGCATGGAGAAAAACGAGGCAATTTTATTTCTAATATAATATCTAATTTTAATAAAACTGCAATTTAAATATATTATTTCTATAGGCTATACAAAAAAAGACAAAAAAGGACAAAATAAAAAGGCTGAATAAGCTGATCTATAGTATGTTAAATGGTGGTATCCTAGTCTATGAATGGTACACTCCCTTAAACTCACAGAAATGTTTTGACCCAAGTTTTCAGCAGCCAATGACACTGACCCGTTCAAATGGATTTTTAACGCATATTTCATGCGTATTTAAAGGGGTCATATGATGCGATTTAAATTTTTCCTTTCTCTTTGAAGTGTTACAAGCTCTTG